AAATTTTGCGAACGGTGCTGTTCATGACCCGAATTGGTCGTGAACAGAAGCATTTGTGACCCGAGGTACCACTGTATTTCTAATAAATAAGTACCATCCAGTACTGCATAGATGTCACAATAATTCATTCTGATTAACAGAAAAACATATAAGAGCAATGCTTATTGCACAGGAATGGGTTGCCAAAGCCACTTTGGGGTACAATAGAATATATGCAAGAAAGAAATACTCACCCATCTGATCAACAATACTGTCCTCACTTCTCTGCCAACTAGGGGTGGATTTGCCACTGCCACTAGTATCTGTGTTCTGTCTATCAATGGAGGCAGGGGATCTTCTACTCATTCCAAATCTGTATAAAGGAATCTCAATTATTCTATTCTGCCCATGGGAAATATCATTTAAAGATGCTTTGTATTCTTTAGATTACAATCAGTTAAATCATTCCAAAATAAACAGTCAACTGTATCATTCATTTACAAAAATCATATATTCCCCTAAGACTCATAGCTTCAGAATGGTTATTAGCCATTAGCTAGAAGATGAGAGTTAGCTGACAGAAGCAGACTAGAAACAAAGCTGATAGATAGTAAAGAATTTGTTGGTCAGATGATCAGGGATAAAAAAAATTGTCATCAATGACAATTGTCATTGTCCGGTATCTCTTGGTTACCGGAATAGACTTAGGAAAATAAGAATGCTGACAGACTCACAATGGACATGAGAGCAATAGGCCTTCTCTACTGTTCAGCAACAACAACCATTATCTCAAGGCAAATTGCCTTTGATCTGGAGGCAACAGACAACTATTATGACTAGTAGCCATTGAGTCTTATCTTCTATGAATTTGTCTTTCCATGGTTTGAGAATAGAAATTCCTAAGTTTAAATTGTTATGCAAAGAGTTTTTTTGGGGGGGGGGAGTGTCTCTCTTAATTTTCTCATCATTTAGCTTCAGACTCCAATATTGTGAAAGAGGGAAAACACCTCTTTATCCACCTTTTCCACATACCGTATTTTTCCATTAATATGACGCCCCCATGTACAAGACGCCCCCCACTTTTCCAACCCAAAATTAAAAAATCAATATTTTAACACATTTTTATTTAGTAATTAGGTAACATTTACCTGATATACTTGGTGGGAGGAGGTCCAAACCA